TTCACTGGAAGTTTTTGAGACAGTGGCCGATCACTGTTGTCGGAACGCCATGCAGGTGGATGCTGCACAAACGGACAGTGGGAATGATAGCCGTTTTCGGGGCGTGAGCTCCGCCGCATGAAAGGAACGGACTATATTTGGCATCCCACTTCTGTCACCACATTGTGTCTCTCTATATAGAAATGTTTACAAGTTGATGCCTGGAAAGGGATGAAACTACCAATCAAAGTGAGGATGCAGTATCGGCACGTGTGACTTTTTCATATTTACTATGTTATTAAATGGAGCATGTGCTAGTTAAAGAGAAGCATGCACTGTCGTCCTGCACTCAGGGCTTTGTCCCGCCCCACCGACTTGAACCGGCCTTACTTTTGGCGGCGTTCTTCCACACGGCTTTTTGGAAACGTAGCGAGGCAGTAATCCACACCGTTCACTTCAAAACAGGACTGGAGTGTGTCATCAATTTTTGGTTTGCGTATCTTTTGTCCTCCTACCTCTCAGTGTGTTGCCAAAGCATGCTAGGCTGTCTTTTTTCTTGTTGTTGTTGTTATTCAAGCCTTTGAATTCTTATCTGATCCCAAGCGCATTGGTTGCAAAGAAAAAAAAATAACTTTGACAAAGTGAAGCCAGTAGTAAATGACTGCTGCGTCCTCCTACCTCTCAGTGTGTTGCCAAAGCATGCTAGCCTGTCTTTTTTTCTTGTTGTTGTTTTCCAAGCCTTTGAATTCTTATCTGATCCCAAGCGCATTGGTTGCAAAGAAAAAAAAAAACTGACAAAGTGAAGCCAGTAGTAAATGACTGCTGCGGTTCTAGTAGCATTTAAACATTTTCCTTTCTTGAGAAAAGTACAAGACTGAAGTATGAGATGGTGCTGAACGGTTTGCAATTAATCCACCTGACAATAACTCACATTACCCGTCTTCACTGATGATACCTGTCATAATGGACGATACCCGTCATAAATCATGATAACAGTTAGAGCTGACAATAACCATGCCGATACCCATCCAAAATGATCCAACCCATCGGAACTGGCAATATCCATCAATAAATAATATCGACATTGTAACTGACTGGACGATACCCGTCATAAATCATGATAACAGTTAGAACTGACAATAACCATGCCGATACCCATCGAAATTGATCCGACCCATCGGAACTGGCAATATCCATCAATAAATAATACCGATAATATAATAACTAACATCGTAACTGACGATAGCCATCACAAATGATGAAAACTCTCGGAAAGGATAATAACCCTTATAATTGGTGACAAAAGTCAGAAGTGACGATACCATTTGTAAGTAGTAATAATCCCCACGATGGTTTATCATTTTAACCGGCAACACCTGATGCAATCTGTCCCCATCGGAACTGGCAATATCCATCAATAAATAATACCGATAATATAATAACTAACATCGTAACTGACGATAGCCATCACAATTGATGAAAACTCTCGTAAAGGATAATAACCCTTATAGTTGGTGACAAAAGTCATAAGTGACGATACCATTTGTAAGTAGTAATAATCCCTACGATGGTTTATCATTTTAACTGGCAACACCTGTTGTAATCTGTGATACCTGTCGTATCTGACGATAACCATTTTGATTGACTATATCCAATGTTACTGGCGGTATCAATTGACAATGCATAATCCCATTGTATTTATCGATACCCATCATAGCTGATGATATCCTTTGTAATTTACGATACTGATCGTAATTGATGGTATCTGCCGTAATCCTGTCGTATCTGACGATAACCATTTTGATTGACTAAATCCAATGTTACTGGCGGTATCAGTTATTGACAATGCATAATCAGATTGTATTTATCAATACCCGTCATAGCTGATGATATCCGTTGTAATTGACGATACTGATCGTAATTGATGGTATCCGCCGTAACGGGCGATATTCATCGCAACGAAAGAAACCCATTGAAACTGTCAATAACCTCCTGAATTGTTGATATCCAATATTACTGTCAACACCCATATTCATTGATGATACCTATCCGAATTGTTGATACTGATGACACTGTTGTAGTTGTCGATACTTAGTGTCACGATTCCATCATGATTGATGATAATTGTCGTAACTGTTGATACCCGCGGTAAATCGTAATCTGACAAAACTCACAATGCTGGACACCGGATCCAGTATTTTAAAAAAACCTCACATAGCATTTTGCATTTTTACCATGACAAATGTAAATGCATCAAAAAAATGGAAACATTTCCTCGCCAGTGTCTCATTAAGAATAATAAGAATACTGTGATTCATGAAGGAATTATTTCACAGATTTCCTAATTTGCCTTTTTGGCTTTGGGCTGCCAATTTTTCAGGGACGCTTCCAAGCTCAAAGGGTGGTGGTGGGAGGGGGCGTTATTTGTGATGCACCCTGTTAAAGTTCAGGAAAAAGATTCCCCTCCCAAATTGCACTGACACTTTTACCCACGACCCTCATTTTTTTTCTATAGTGTTTCATTTTTTGTTTTGTTTGTTTTAATGTGAAGTCAAGCAACCACTCATTTCCTTTTCTGTATCTGAAAAAAAAAAATTCTAGGCCCTTGTTGTTCAGGTTTACAACATTTTCTAAAGTCAGGCCTCAAAATACACCTCCAAAACACACTTGTAAGACGTTTTCTTATACATATAAATACAGTATATATTTATACACTGTACAAATATCTGCCTTTTTTTGGTGTATGGGCTCATCTTACGATTACATGTACTGCTGCTTCTTGATGTATCATATTTTGTACCGAGGCCTGTAATCATATTTAAATTATGACTAACAGGCCTTATCTGTGTTTCTATGTTGAGTTATTCATATTTAAATGATGAATGACAGGCCTGTATTTTTTATAGCTATATATTGTGAACACGGACACTCTGTAGCATTGCCCCGCCCCCCCCCCCTCCTCCTCGCCCCAACACTTGTTTTGTGTAATTGTTTCGTGTAATATGTCGGCAACGAAAGGATGGTCTGACAGACCTTTTGTACTCTTTAATGGTCATATTTTTTATATGTATTTCCCCCCCTCCACACACACACACACACACACACACACACACACACCTGAGAGTCAAATGTAGCATCAACAGCTGATAGCAGAGAAGCAGACAGACAAAATCTTGTGAATGAAAAGTCAATATACCGGACACTTTACTAGGCACGTCGTCCAATAAGATCCAAAGCAAACATCATTTTTGATTCGGTAAACTATTGCCATGACACTATTTGTAATATTTTAATTCTTGTGCTTGGTTTTTCAAACAATTCATTCAAATGCTGCTTTGATCTTCGTTTAATACAGTAAGTCATGGAAATGTGGCCATCATATAAACCGACAAGCATCTTCTAAATAATGTGAACATTCATTGTGGAGGAAAAAAAAACACAATTACCCACAATATTTTAAACCTTGGTAATCAAAATCAACTACGTGAATTGTCATTGTGTCCATCTGGGATCCCGTTTTAGTCAACAAACATTTTGGGACCAAAGGTATGGTTACTATATGATTCTGGATCCTATTTCTGTCACCAAAATGGTGTCTCCTCTAATTGCCCCTTGGCAATAAAGGTTTCTTTATCGAAATGACGTGTTCATGTAGGATCCAACTTCTGTCACCAGATATTTTAGGTGATTTTTTTTTTTTTTTGCGCATTGGATTTCATTCGATTGTATTCCTAATGCTGTGTCCAGTGGGTGTACAGTAAATCCGGTATACAATGAGTGTATATATAGTGTGCAGCTCATAGAGCATGCATCACGAGGCGTAAGGGGCCTTTTCATTTCATTTATTCATGACGACAACTTCAATGTCGCCCACTCTCCCCTCCATCTCGCCTATGTGCATCTAGCGCATGTATGAAACATGCATGGCGCTTGTGTAACCAGGTCGACTTTTGATCGCGCTCTCAGAGGAACAGTGCTTTTATGTCGCTAGCTATTAATTGCTCCATCAGCGACCTCACAAAAAGAAAAAAAAAAAACGCGGTGTTTGACATTTGTAACGCAGGGATAGGAAAAAACAAGACTTCACAAAGATGGCCACTAACGATGGGGCACTGAGATGCATCAGTGATGACCTGATGCGCTTTCGCAGCTGGCTAATTAGCTAATTAGCCGATGCTAAAAAGCGCAGCCAACGCAGACTTTGAAAGACGGCTCGGTCCGCGGCTGGTCCTGATCTTTTTTTTTTGGGGGGGATTCAAGAAAAGTTTAATGGTGGAAGGATAATGCTGTGGATAATGGCTTGTTTTTCTGTTGTGTTGGTCTAGAAACCATTTGGAAAATTCCACACTTGGTAAATGTCTCTTGCTATTCTGTCTCATGACCCGATACTGTTTCACAGTGCTGTGTATTGTTTTGTTGTATTGGGTTTGGATCAGGGATCGTTGTAATTATCCAGGATCATTATGAGGCTTCTCAGAGCTTGCTGATGAGCTGATCGCTTGAATCACGTGTGTTGTCGGGGTGGGGGGAGAAATCTAAAACATGCTGGATAGGGGATTGCTGGTTTAGGTCATTTATTTTTCTGTTTAGTTGGTCTTGGACTTCTTAGTTTCTTCAATATGTTCATATCATGTTCCTACTTTTGCATGGAGGTGTACAGTGTTTTCAGAATGGCTGATATCATTTATATTTGATTTGGCTTAGATAATTAATTTTACCGTTTGATTAATTTCAATCATGTATTCTTCTGTTGGGTTGGTTTAGACCACTGACTTTTTCTGTTGACCTGGTCTCCAACCTCTGAGGTCATGATCCATCGTTGTAGTCTTTTCAGCTTCCATCATGACCAAATAGAATTGGGTTGGTTAAGAGCCTTTTGGAACGTTATCATTTTTGTTTTGTTTTTAACAGTGTTTACAGTATTTTAAATTTTTATCAAGACCCAATGCAGTTGGGTTTGTTTTGAGCATTTGATTTTCTAGACTGCTTGTTTTTTTTTTTGCACGGCTTTTGTGTGTGTG